TATTGTGTGATCATCCTAAATTTATTGAGACTGATTGGCTTGACTTCCCACATTGTTCTGCGCAGACCGCGACAATAGATAGTATATAATGTTTGTAATTCTATGCATCGATTCATTTTGTCAAAATATTAAATAAATTGATAACAAATAAATTAATAAAATAAAATAAATAAATTAATTAAATGAAATAAATAAATTATTAATAAAAAAAAATTAATAAATAAAATAAATTTTTTTAACGACTAACGGAATCCCATAAATGATAATCATGAATAAACATGACAATATTCGAAAATATTAAATTTGTACTCTTATTAAATCATTTTTTTTTTTACTTTTTTATCAACTTTCTTTAATCACTCTTAAAAATCTTAAAATCTTATAACACATTATCACGAATTATAAATATCATAAAAGTATAATCAATGTTATAATAATATTCTGCAACTTACCAACAAGTCGTTTTTTCTAGGATCTGCTAAAAATATTTATAAATAGTTTATTATGAAACGCGTAATAATCGAATGATTCGAGATTTAATAATTACATTTTTTAAGTAACGGCCCCACTTTAGTTATTTATTTTTTTTATATTCTTACCCAAATATTGCTGATTTTATAATAAGCATAAATAATAATAATTACAAATATTTTAGATTTTAGAAATATCAAGACAATAATGATTTTGATTTATTTTAAATGATTAAATAAAGCCATATTTTATAATTCCATGATCGAAAAAAAAAATAATAAATAAATATCAAATAAACTTAAATAAAATAAATAAATAATAATAAAATATAATATTTTTAAAACTAAAAATTTAATCCTAAATCCATTAATTTCCAGTTGAAAAAAATTTTATAGTCCATTTATTGAGCTTCATTTTCTTCTTCATCTTCAACTATACAAATTTATATATAGTTAATAAACTTTTTAAATTAAATATAATGGACAAAGATAATTTAAGAAAATAATTTTCCAATAATATATTCAGGAATTGAATAAAATACTGTCTTGAATCTAAATGAATAATTAATATAAAATTACCCTTTTTTTCTAAGAAAAAGTAAATAAATTTATTTTTTGCAAAATATGTTTACTAAATACATGCATATCATATTCAGGTATAAGTCTAATTGCATATATTGATTCAGAATAGATCAAATTGAATAATATCTCGTTTGATTCATCCGCTGTTTTGACTTGCTTTCTTATCCCATTATTATGTTCTTTAGAATAATATTCATCAAGTTGAGATCTTCAATTCTTCGACGGTTTGGCGATTGAGAGGTTCAATATGCCAACATAATTCAAGTTTAAGTCCATTGCAAATGTTCATAGTAAGAGTTACATCATGTGGAATACTATAATATGGTGGATACTTATTTGAACTACTAACATAACCATGCCAAAAGAATATATGGCAGATGCTTGAATATATCCTCCTTTTTTCTCAGGTGCCATAAATAGAATCACACAAATAATTAATTTATTAATTTTATTTAATTGTACATTAAATGATGATAGTAATGATAGAAAAATATAAATAATGAAGATACGGAAGATATTTCAATTTAATAAGTTTTAAATGAATGCATGATGAAATTAATAGATGCAGATACAGATATTAGCGATATTAAACATTTTGACAAAACCAATGCTGCAAAATGTAATTTAGATGTTATATTTAATAATTTAGTTTTCATCTATTTTTTATATCAATTTAATAAAGTTTAAAAATAAGATATCAAATTTACAATTCAATTATAATTATATTCGTTTAACGTTAATAGAAAATTGATATCATAATTTATTTCTTAGACAAGCGAGATCTCCTTTTTATTCAATAATAAAAAATATACAGTATATTATAATTTAGTATAAAGTACAAAGTCTCATGTGCTTATTGAAGATTTTATCAATCAGAATTAAAAATATTATGATTTTGCTGTACTAACGTTCCCTTGTTAAAGGAAAAGTCTACTGGTAATTAGTGTATTGTAGATATTGTTTATAGAGGAACTGCTCATTTTCCTTAGCAAAAAAACAATAGTTTATGTGGAGAATGTTGAAACCGCATCTGCGGAGAATATTGCCAAGTAAAAAAATTAAGGAGTGGCGTTCGCAACAACTTATTGAATTTCTTGAAAAAAAAAGAAAGATAAGCTGTTTCTTAAGCCCGAATACATCAAAATTATCAAAAACTAAGATATTGCCAGTCTAGGTTTCCTGTTTTTAACCAAAGAAAAACTTATACAATATGACTTAAAAGGAGACCTGCAACAATAATTGCTCAATTTATTAAAGAAATCAAAGGTGTAGAGCAAGATAATTAATAAGCGAATATTGCAATAATCTTATTTCACAATCAAAATGTAAGAGGGATGGTTGACAGTTCAAAAATGGTATTACGACAGGATCCTTATTTAAGGGAATGTTTGGTATAATGTTTTATGATGCTTATTAACTTGTACATTTTTACATTGATAATGCATAGCCTTTACCACCCAGGGTAAGATATTGCACCCTGTTGCTATTATGTTAATGTAAAATGGTTTTTTACAATTTCAATTGTTTCATTTAGTTTTGCAATTAGAGCCTGAAACAGAAAAGCGTAAAAAAGCCGAAGGTGAATTATGATTGGAATGGGAAAAGAGCAAAAGTTTTCGTGCTGAGACTGAAGCAAAAGTGTCTCATTATGAAACTATTTTGTATGCAACAACACATAGCCTCACTAAAACGTGGGATAAATTCACCCACAACACTGTCAAGCACTGTTTGTTTGAACCCGCAACGGAAACACTCACATTCGAGAAACCACTAACAAGTGATGCTGAAATAGACTATCAAAAATACTTTACAGAAGAAATACTGACACAGCTAGATGATGGATCTGTTAAAGCTGTGGACAGCCATCAGTTAATATTCCTCAACGGAAAGGCCTCCAATATTGCCACTCACACTAAAGGTTATTCTCTAAATTCACATACAGTAGAGGCTATAGGCGAAATAAAATGTCAAGGATCTTGCTTCACAAAAAACAATCTAGGACGAGTCCGACCATACACCATAACCCTGTGGTTATGGGATTCTTGCCAAATTGTTATGACATCATATTTATTCAGGCAGGGGAAATGGATTACCGGTTATACAGTGTATTGTATTCCGATCAAATGAGCTTGAGAGACTCGAATACTCCCGATATCTACGTTTCTACCTAATGACAGATATTTTATATATTTTACACAATTCTTTTATCTCCGTCATCTGCAAGTACATGCATTTCTGTTTTTGACTTTTAGGTCTAAGAGTAGATTTAGATGACGTAATTGCATTCACACAAATCTCTACAGTATTTAGCATCATTGACAATGAAAATGTGGTTGTTAAACTTGCAAATCGGTCCGATATATTTAAGAATAGAATGAGATAAGAATTTTAGTAAAATTGTGTGAAATTTCTGCCAATGGTGTTATAGTTCCTGTTGATTCGTCCGTGAATGCGATGCTATTAGCACATGCAGTTACATCATTCAAATAAACTTTAAACTCTGTATCATATCTCACGAAAATTGTGAATAAACTCCGTCTATGCCACCAAATCGCTGCATGGAGATGTGCGACTGACCAATATCCTTGTTGATAAAGACAGCCAACTCATACTAGTTGATTTTTGGTGTGGTTCGATTGTAGGAGAGAGGAGTTCTATCAATGCTTATTAGTATGATTTCAACATAAATTCGTGAATCCGTAAATTCAGCAGTGGAATGGCTGTGGTCCAATCTTACCCTTTCGCTCATTACGATTTATGAAATCAAAGCCTCCAATTTTTATTCAACCTCAAGATGTTCTCTTTATGCTTGTTCGATCACTTTATCTTCACTTGCACGAGAAAGAAGACTTGCGACTTAGTAAAACCTCAGATGTCCTTGAGTTTTGTGAGAAAGTGTTTTCGGATAAGCTTTGGGAAGGATATGTGTTTCCTGTGAAAACCTGGAATATGGTACCTTGAAAAGAATGAATTTCGCAGATACTACAATAACAAATTAGTCTAAGAATAATATAGTGGATGTATTTATTGCTTTCTACAAGGAAGAAAGTATACATATGGCATGCATTACGAGGAATGAATACACTTAATTGGATGCTGATTACTCTAGATGTATCACAAACATTGTGTAAATAAATCATTTTTCGAGCAATAAAGTTTATTATGGAGAAGAAACATATTAGAAATTTAATTTCCAGATTATGCACACATGTACTTTAACTATGTACTTATTTTTTTTTTGGTTTATAAATTTAAATTTCAAATAAAAAAAAAAGGACAAGCAAATCTGAGAATAAATAATTCTTTCATATATATAAAACAAAATGCATTATTATTTCACTAATCATTGTAATATAAATGAGTAACTCTTTAATATTTTAAAGATCTGTAATAAAATAAATAAATATCATGTTAATTACAAACTTATTTAAATGAATTCCCATACAAGAATTAAAAAATAATGATTGTATCAAAAAACAACATTTTTCTTTTATTATTTAAACTTTCAATACCCTTTTGAAATATTGAAGCTTAATGAACAATTAAAATTTCAGTACACCTAGGTAAAATATAATTCAATAAATAAAACGACACACCAGCACTTGCTGAATTTAAATCTTTAAATCTAGCAAGAAATTCCAATTATTCAAGAAATCACACACATCATAATTTATTATTATTAAAAATAATAGAGCGCGACTTACCCTGAAACCTTATTATATTAAAAGATTTATATTTTTTTTTTTTATACAATTAAAGTATTAGTAAATCTACCAAATAGAAATTATATCTTCCTTTTTTGAAATTTTAAGCTATAATGATAATAATATAATTAGCGTAAACTTGATTTAGATTAATCCGGAATAATATTCTTTATTCTTTTATTGCATGCATTCATTCCAATTTGGTCACATTGATTATATAAAAATGGTAGAATATTCCATACAAGAATTCGAACTCGACGTTTTACACTCATTTTTTCCAAAGAAAATGTCTTTTATATTTTTTGACAAATTATCTCAAAATTTTATTGAACTTCTTAACGATAAAGATGATTACAATGTAATCATCGAAGTTGAAAATGAGAAATCCTTTAAAGCGCATTCTAACGTATTAAAGTGTCGCTCACCTCATTTTCGTAAAGAGTTAGAAAATATTCTCCCGAATAAAAACAATATCAAGACAATTACTAAACCAAATATTTCTGGTGCAGTTTTTGATATAATTCTTAAGTAAGTTATTCTTTATAGTAAAATGCATTATTAATTGTAATAATGAGTTACATAAATTAATAAATAATATTTATTTTATAAGATATATTTATGGTGGAATTGTTGATTTCGAGAATGTTGAAATAAGATTTATTTTTGATTTGATGATTGCAGCTAATGAATTTGAAATTGAAGAATTATTCAAAAAATTAGAAAATTATCTTATCAAAACTGAAAGTTCTTGGTTAAAATCTCATTTTTCTCTAGTTTATCGTTCAATTTTTAATGGAAATAATTTCAAAAAACTAGAAAAATTTTGTAATGACATTATTGCAAAGTATCCAAATCTCATTTTTGATGCTGAAAATTTCACTTCTCTTCAAGAATCTGCATTGGTTTCTCTCCTAAAACGAGATGATTTACAATTAGAAGAAGTGATAATTTGGGAATACGTAATTAAGTGGGGGATTGTTCAGAATCCCACTTTACCTGCAGACCTTAAAAAATGGACCAATGAAAACTTTACAACTTTGAAAACTACTCTTCAACAATGCCTACCTCTAATTCGATATTTCCATATTTCTAGTACGGATATTTGGAAAAGGATAAAGCCTTATAAGAAAATTCTTGACGAACAACTTTGGGAAGATTTGAGTCAATTTTTCATGGCTCCTGATGAACCAGTGAAATCAATAATTTTACCACCAAGAACAATTTTTGTTCAAGAATTACCTACCCGCGCAAAAGAACAAGCGAAACAGATTTCTACCATCATTACTTATGAACATGTAGCCGAAATTTCCTCTTGGATTGATCGTAATTCAAGTACTTATTCTTTAACAAACACTCCATATGAGTTTCAATTAATTTTAAGAGGAAGTATAAATGGATTTGAACCTCAAACTTTTTGGGATACCTGCCATGGACATGCGAGTACTGTGGTGATCGTAAAAGTTAAAGGAACAGACGAAATTCTCGGAGGATACAATCCTTTAGCTTGGAGTAAAACTAATACCATCAGTTGGGGAAAAACTAACGATAGCTTTATTTTCTCATTGAAAAATGGTAATATACAAAATTCAATTCTTAGCAAAGTAAAAATTCGTGATTATGCAATTGGGAATGTTTCCAAAAGTATGCAAAAAAATTATGGTCCATATTTTGGGCATGATCTTTATATGCATAGTCCAATTTATAATTTTACTTTAGATAATTCCAGTGTGTGTCAAAGCAAAGGTTATTATGAAAAACCTATCAGAACAGCAACGACAAAATATTTTTCAATTGTTGATTACGAAATATTTAAGATTATTAAGAAAAACAGTTAGAAATTGGAAAAATAATTAATATTATTTTACACTATTTCTTTATATTGAATTAAAATTTTTAAGCTATTTATAATTTAAATTCTTTTTTTACATAACCTTTTATCGATGAATTTTGTGATTTGACATTATCGGTGTTTGAATATGGTTTTATAAATAAAATTTAGTAATAAACAAACTTAATGTGATTAATCAAATGATATTTTACGCTCTTAAAATTTATGAGTAAATTTTACCGTTATCTTGTTTTTTTTTTAATAGAGATTAATCCAATATAGATTGGATCAAATTATCACGAGATTTTATTAAAATCTTGTAAAATAACACACGATTAAATAAAAAATTTTTGAGCTTTTAATAAAAGCTTTTAATAAAAGCTTTATTATATTGGACATAGAGATTTTAGAGGCCGCATATATAGTGAGATTCCAAAATTTCGAAACACTGTCATTATTATTTTTTTAAAATTATGTTTTTTTTTCTGCCGTTTTATACTATTATTACTAAACAACTTTTTTTACCGTTGTTCATTACTGGATTTTGCTGTTTCTTCCATTTCTTGAAAATTATTATTGAAATTTCCGGTGGTATTGCTTCCTCTCCAATGAATGCTTTTCGTAATCCAATTTGCAACTTTTGTTATTCTCAACTTGAATTTCGCCTTCGTCAGCAAGAATTTGAAGTTGTTCGATCATATCCTTTGCTGTCATCTGTGTGTTTTATTCACATTACCCGCCAAAAGTAACTCTCAAGGTAAGGTTTTATTATTTTTGTCATCCATTTTCCTGCTCCCCTTTTTCCATATTTCTGATTGTTTTTTAATACTCAACCTTTTTTCAATTCAAAAGTTTCTTCTACAGCTATATTGTAACTAAGAAAAAATATAATTTTATTATATTGTGTATACCTAATAATGAATCAGTTTGATTATTATTTTTTTCTAAGTATTTATATAAAAAAAAATAAAGAAACTTGATAGTGGTGGGATACAAATGAAATGTGATTATAATACGTTGGCGAATGACCTTTAAAGAATATAATCACATGTATAAATTTCTACTTTGTAATACATAATATGTAATAAACTTGATTTTGATTAATCTGGAAATATATTAATTCTTTTACTGCATGCATCAGATGCTTGAAAAGAAAAAGCTTAAAAAGTTATGAGATGCACTTCGCTGAGTCATGCATTCATTCCTTTTTGGTCATATTGATTATATATAAAATGGCATAGTACTTAGGACATCCCATATAAGAATTCGAAACAATTTTATACTCAACGTTTTTTACACACATTTTTACAAGAAAAATGTCTTTTATATTTTTTGACAAATTATCCCAAAATTTTATTGAACTTCTTAACGATAAAGATGATTACAATGTAATCATCGAAGTTGAAAATGAGAAATCTTTTATAGCGCACTCCAGTGTGTTGAAGTGTCGCTCACCTTATTTTCGTAAAGAGTTAGAAAGTATTATCCCGAATAAAAACAAAATTAAGAAAATTATTAAACCAAATATTTCTGGTGTAATTTTTGATATTATTCTTAAGTAAGTTATTCTTTTTAGTAAATGTTATTATTAATTGTTACATAAATTAATAATTAATTATTATTTTATAAGATATATTTATGGTGGAATTGTTAATTTCGAGAATGTTGAAACAAGATTAATTTTTGATTTAATGATAACAGCTAGTGAATTTGAAATCAAAGAGTTGACCGAGAGACTAGAAAATCATCTTATCGAAACCAAAAGTTCTTGGTTAAAGTCTCATTTTTTTTTAGTTTATCGTTCAATTTATAATGGAAATAATTTCAAATGTTTAGAAAAATTTTGCAATGATATTATTGCAAAGCACCCAAGTCTCATTTTTGATGCTGAAGATTTCGCTTCTCTTCAAGAATCTGCATTGGTTTCTCTCCTCAAACGAGATGATTTAAAACTAGAAGAGGTGATTATTTGGGAATATGTAATTAATTGGGGAATTGGTCAGATTTCCACCTTACCTGTGGACCTTCAAAAATGGACCAATGAAAACTTTACAACTTTAAAAACTACTCTTCAACAATGCCTACCTCTAATTCGATATTTTCATATTTCTAGTACGGATATTTGGAAGAGGATAAAACCTTATAAAGAAATTCTTGACGAACAACTTTGGGAAGATTTGAATCAGTATTTCATGGTCCCTGATGAACCAGTGGAATCAATAATTTTACCACCAAGAAAAAATTTTGCTCGAAAATTACCTACCCGTGCAACAAAACAAACAAAACCACTTTCCACTATTATTGCTCATGAACATGTGTCCTCTATAAGAACAACGGAACAAGCAATACTCTCCAGTATTATTACTTGTGAACATGTAGCTGAAATTTCCTCTTGGATTGATCGCAATTCAAGTACTTATTCTTTAACAAACATTCCATATGAGTTTCAATTAATTTTAAAAGGAAGTATAAATGGATTTGAACCCCAAACTTTTTGGGATACCTGCCACGGTCATGCGGGTACTGTAGTGATTATAAAAGTTAAAGGAACAGACGAAATCCTTGGAGGGTACAATCCTTTAACTTGGGATGCTAATGCTGATGGTTATGGAGAAACTAATGACAGCTTTATTTTCTCATTGAAAAATGGCAATATACGAAATTCAATTCTTAGTAGAGTAAAAAAACCTGAACGTGCGATTTATAATGTTTACAAAAGTGTACAAGAAAATTATGGTCCACATTTTGGAAACAGTCTTTATATGTATAGTCTTAGTTCGAATTTTATTTTAGATAATTACAGTGCGTGTAAGAATAACGGTAGTTATGAAAAACCTATCAGATCTAGAACTACAACTGATGATTTCTCAATTATTGATTATGAAATATTTAAGGTATTAAGAAAACTGATTTGTAATTAGGAAAATAATTAATATTATTTACACTATTTTTTTATTTTGAAAAAAAATTTTAATTGAATTTTTTAAATTTTAAGTCTATTCATAATTTAAATTTATTTAATTTTCATCAATGAATTGTGTTATTTGACATTTGAATATGATTATCAATAAATTAAATTTGGAAATGAATTAGACACTCAACTTATTTATTTTTTAATCGAGAAATTATGACGACGACAGCAACAAAAAAAAAAAGATATCAAAATTATTTTATCTAAATTAGATCGAGCTTACGATTCCTTATTTAATATAGATTCAATTATTATAACTTCTTACCTGATCATATTATTGTATCAAGTTCGTCTAAAAAATCAATAAAAATTTTAATTTTATGTGACAAAATCGAATGTAATCAAATCAGCCCTTATGGTTATAACTTAGAAGCAACTTAGTATAACAAATTTTTTTTCTTATATTCATTACATATTTCATTTTAACATTAAATAAAAAAAAAACTTCCAAGTTATTCAATTTAATTTCATCAAATCATAATGAGACGATCAAGTTTAAATTTAATGGTTTTGCTAATATCGTGGATGACAATTTTTTCCGGTATCTGGACAATGAAATGAATTCATTCGACACACCCTCACAGATATAATAAATGGGAAATATTTTGATGGGACGGTGATTCATCAAATTATTAATAGTGATCCTAATAAAAATTCATCTACTGCTGAACTATGGACGAGACCAGTGTTACCTTACGCATTATTCATCCCAATGGAACAGTCAGTGAAATAAACAAAGACTTGGGATTCAAGAATTTAAATGACGCATTACTAAAAGTCTTAGTGTTGTTGATGTATTACCTAGACCCTATAAGTATATTCGCGCTTCAAAAGGTCTTATTACTTGTTAGATACTTTAATGCAATTAATACTTATGAAGAATGTGGACGTATTATTGATTGGAATGGCAATTTATATAAGTAAATATAATCATATCATATTACATATTATATTTAATCAACTTTGATAATAATGAAATTATTATTACTTTTATTCAAATATTTATTCTAAACTATGAAATGAAGTAAATTTTGGGGCTTACATCGAAAATTATATATAGTACCCAACAAGAACAGCACGTTGATCCAGAAAAAGAGTTTATAAGGATAATTGGGACGAATGTAACTTATGTCGAGTGGCAACAATATAGGATGTAAGTTTTTTATGTTATGACATGTTTGATGATGTGATGTTATAAAGATTTTACAATTTTTTCTAATTTTTATTTTTTGTTTAGAGGTGATACATTCAATCTTAAAAAGTTATCGGAAGGAAATATTACACTTCTCAAGAGTGGAACTTCTGCATTATTTAATATCATAGCTACTATTGACGAAGGTTATATTTGCAGCTCCACTAATTCCGATAGTCTTTTTGAATTCTACGTCACGGTGCATGATTTAAAAATAGAATACGTAATAAGATACACAATTTAGTGCGCCAAAACTTCTTTATCAATTAATATTACATTATCTAATAATACTGGAATAGGGCAAGTTTGTACACTCAACGTCACACTTAACAATGTTACATTACCCAAATTACCCGAATTACACTCAAATTTTACTAAGGATGATCAGTAGAAAGTATTCCTTATGGTGGTTATTTATTTTTTAGCTGTTTTCTGAATACAATCAATCATGCCAATGCTTATGGATACTATCTTAACGAATCCGTAAAAATTTTATTGAATGAACCATCAGTTATAAATTTTCAAGGAATTTTGTTAATTCTGCCTAATAGTATCACAAATAAAAAATTTAAATACGTGGAGTTTTCTTGCCACTAATACTCCTAATACTCAGGAAATTTGGATAATGGTTATTCAAATCTTCTAGTAAATTCCATAAGTCCCTCGATAAATGCTAATATTTCTAATATTTCAACTTTAACAGATATGGGCAATATCACAATCACTTAACAACGTTACTCGACAATTTGTTAATGGCAACAATAATGAGTTCTGTTCAATCTCTGATAACTGTATAAGTTATCAGAAATACCTTTAGTTATCCTAATAGCTAATTTTATGCTAAATTTGATAATAACTTTGTAAGCAAAGTGTACGGTATACATGAAATTCAATACAAGTATGTAAACGATATTATTTTATTAAATATTTTTCTTGACGGTTTTTTAGATCCAAAGAAACAATTGCAGGTAAATTTCAGTGTAATTAATAGAAAATCACTCAAAATGTTTTGAAAATTTTACAACAGGCACGCTGCGTTTAACTATAGAAGGCACCAAGCACTTTGAAATCTTAATTCGACTGAAAAAGTTGATTTTTCTTTCGATCTAATAACTGAATTATCTAAAATTCTTTCTATTGATTCTAAACGACTAACTTTAAGGGAAAAACCAAGTTGATAACACTGTTAGTCATAATCGACGTCAAAAGATCATCTCACTTAATATTGAATCATCCAAAGAAGGAAGAAGTGTATATCTATTATTGATGATTTAGGTAATATGATCGAATATAAAAGTATGTCATCCATTAGTTTATTCCATACCACAAAGTATTTAGAGGAAGATTTTGGATTCAAACAAAAACGTGAGTATATATTGAATTTTAAACTTATTTAATATGTTATCATTACTAATAATTATTTTTCATTAGAAAGCTATGGGATAAATATTGGTTGAAGTTTATGGATGCTATGTCAGCATTTTGATTTTTAACGCTCTTTTCTTATTAGCACGGGGAAGAGATAAAAAAAAAAGAAATCTTTATTTATTTAGAATATTATAGAAAATGGAAATTTTCGTGTATTGACATTATTAAATTCTCTTAAAGAGTCGTAGCTCGTCTGTTTTACAACTTGGATTAATTATTTTTGATTTTGTAATGGGCACCCTTTTCGTAAGTTTCAATGGTAATATTGTTAAAGAATTATATTTTCCAAGGTAAATTTATCATTTTATGCATACTTGCATATATTTATATTTACATATTTAATTTATATTTACTTATTCATTTATTTACTAAAAATTTATATATTGATTGTTCCGATTGTCATCATCATTATTTGGGCATTTTATATTGTCTCTGAAGAAAATAAAACTGAGAATTTCATGCGTTTACTCATTCAATACGGAAGGATGGTATCAATATTAACAGTTTTTCAGGTGCTGACATTGAAGAATTAAGTATTCTCTATTCAAATATGGCCGGGTTTGAATTTTCAATGCTCCATTTTCAAATAAAGGAAAAAGTAGAATCTTTTGGGGTTCTTGGGTAAACGCCTTTCTTGAGATATACTACAAGTGATCATTCAGGTCAGTCTTCAAATTCTTTTTTATTTATACGAAAAAAATTATTATTATTAATTGTTTTGCTTTCTAATTAATTGAAATTTTCAATGCGTTTAGATATTATACCTTAATAGTGTGGTTATGTATTATATAATTCCTCTTCTTGCGCTCAATAAATATTATTAGCAGATTATATCAAACAAAGTTTTTTTCCAAAATGTATTTGAAAGGACAAGGACACAGAAACCAGAAGAATTTGAAGAATTTGGAGGTCCTCAACCACCTCATAATCGAGATATTTTTGGAGGTCTTCAACCACTTCAGATATCAGCTACTGAAAGAAATCTCATTTAAGAAGCAATATCTTGATAAATATATATTACTGTTTACTTTTACTAATATTGAAATATATATTTGTGGGGGAGAAATAAAATAGATTAATATTTTGATTAGCAAATTCAATATATAATTTTCTTACTAAATCTTGCATTAATTTACTTATTCATTGATAATTTTGATTTTCAAAAAATAATATATTTTGTTTTTAATTATTAGAAACTATCTATATTCAAAGTATAATAAACGAGTAGTCTGTTTAAAAAATTGATCATACTACATCTGTAGATAACCATTTATGAGGCTATATATGATAATCTGACATTTGGTCTATTAAAATAATATATTATTAATACACTTCTAAAACTTCATAAATGATATTTTCTACTGGCATTGAAAGAAATTCCTCTACATTTATTTCATTGGGAAGATGAAATGCTTGAATATTTTTAGAAATATTATTTGTTAATTCATCATTTGTTAATTCATTATCATTTTCATTAATATCATAAAAATCATCATTAGGTTCATTAAAGATAAGAATATTTGTATGATTCCAACAACGAATTGTTTCAATTGTGATTTCATTCCAACTTAATATTACAAAACGGATTGCTTGCAAAATATCCATCTTTAGATCTTGTATAAAAATCCATCTAATAAAATAATTAAAATTTTAAATAATTAAACTAAATAACATTTTATATAACTTAAATTTTAAAACTTACTGAATATGATAATTACGATAATGTCTTTTAAAAGACATAATAATTACAGAATCCATTGGTTGTATTCGAGAAGTTGTATTTGGAGGTAAAAAATGAATATCAACATGTAAAAGATTTAAACCTTCGATTTTATGACTTCCACAATTATCCAATAATAATAAAACACGTTGTCCATTATGTTTTATTGCAACATTATGATCAAAATCAAAAGCCATTCTTGAAATAAAGTAGTAAGCATCCAAGCTTTAGAATTATGCCAGTAAATTATTGGTAAATTATTAATATTAA